GCCTGGATAAGTCTCCGGATTAGATGGTCTTCCCTACGAAGTTTACTTGAGGTTGTCGACGTTTTGTTCCTTTGCTGGAACTGATGTACAACCACTGGATGAGGCAGGGTCTTTACCTCAACGCTTCACCAGGGGTGTCATCAAGTTGCTGCGTAAGGACAAGGACGGTGGGGATGGGTTAGGGAACTTTCGCCCTTTAACGATGTTAAACACTGACTTAAAGATTTTGGCGAAGATCTTAGCCAACCGTTTGCAGCTTGTCCTGTCTAGTCTGATTGGCCCTGAACAGACTTGTGCTGTGAAGGGCAGGACTATTCAGGATAACCTTCATATGGTACGCTTGATCTTAGAACAAGTCGACAGTGAAGCCGCTGATCAATTTAGATCAGTCCAAGGCCTTCGATAGGGTTGACCATCGATTTCTGGAGGCTGTCCTTTTCATGGCCGGTTTGAACCGACTTTCGCTCCTGGATCCGACTCTGTATGCGACCCCGTGCGCTGGTGGAAGTGAATGGGGTAAGATCGAAGCCTTTATTATTGTCTCGCTCCATTCGTCAAGGTTGTCCGCTATCGCCTCTGCTTTACGTTCTTGCGTTGGAGCCTTTCCTTCCCATAAGTTAAAGGCGAATCCGGTCCTACGCGGTATTTCGCTGCCTGGTGCTTCCACCTCGGCCAGGTATTCTGCCTATGCTGACGACGTTTCGGTTCTTGTGTCGAGCAGGCCGAGATTAACGAAGTCAGTAAGCAGATCAGTGGGCATGAGATGGTGACAGGGGCCCAAAATCAACCCGCGATAAGTCTGTGGGCTTGCGGTTGGGTGCGTGGAAGGAAGTTTCTCTTCCCGGACCTTTCCTCTGGACGGATGGGCGATCAAGATACTCGCGTCTGGTTCGGTCCTGATCTCCAGTTGGAAAAAGAATTGGTCGGAGGTACAAGGGGGGGCCGAGGCCGCGGCTAGTCTGTGGTCTCGGAGGAGACTTTCCCTGAAGGGAAGGGCGGAAGTTTGTGGTTCACATCTATCCGATCCTCCTCTACCGTCTTTCTGTGCTTCCACTCCCGTATGCCCGACTAATATCATTAGTCAAGGCCTTGTTCTCTTTCTTGTGGAGAGGCAAGGCCCATATGGTATGTCGCGAGATCTGTTGCCTTCATCCCTCTGAGGGCGGTCTGGGGATGCCTAGCATTGAGATTCGTCAATATATGCTACGACACCTTTCTAGACCGAATGTGTCGCGGTTTGGATGAGGTGGGCACCTTTTGGAAAGAAGATGTCCGTAAACATTTCCCATCCCTGAGAAGTGTGCACTGCAGCGAGGAGGAGGCCGGTCGTACTCCTCGTGGCGAGTGCTCCTTTCCACCGTGAATGTCGTCGTGCTTTGAAGCTCCTCTTGCGGACGTCGGATGGCCTCTCTGACGCCCAAGCGTTGTCTCGTGAAGGCATTATATCGAGTGTTAGTTAGGGGGTCCGTTCAAGATGGTCTGATCGACGAGCTCGGTCTTACGGGCAGGAGGCTCGCTCGATATGGCCTTGGGCGCCTGGGTTGAAATGTCTCAATAACGATGAGGCATCACTCACCTGGCTGATGATTCGCGGGGCCCTCTGGGTCGGGCAAAAGACTTTGTTCAGCAGGCTTGGAGAAATATCCAAACTGTCGTCGCTGTACTGGGAATGTCGAGACCGTTGGTCACGCCTTTTTTCAGTGCAAGGCGGTAGTGCCGTTAATGCAAGTTTGTTGAAGGCCTCATGGTTCGCATGCTGCAGGGGAAAGTTTTTTGTCCTGGAAGCCAGTTCTGTTTGTAGCAATGTGGTATCGCAATTGACGAAGGCTGAACACTATGTGTTCTGTTGCTTACTAGGGGTTATGCGAGTCGTGATTTGGACGACGCGACAGAAGGGATTCTATGAAGGCGAAGAAGTTCACCTCTTCCCAACTGATCTTGTACTTTAGGCATCAGCTTAAAGTCAAGATTAGGACGGAAAGGCGGCGGCCCCATCATCAGAATTCGGCAAAAAGGTGGGTGAATCTTGCGCGAATGTGTAGAGTGAAAGGGGCTGACCTAGAGTGGCATTTAGATGTCGGTTAGGCACAGAATATTGTCCTAACAGGGTTGAACAGAGGCAACCCACCCCGATATTAGGCTAGACTAGGTTTTTGTTGTTGAATATTTAGTTTTCCTATTTTTTTCCCGTTTAACTTAGCTAGGGTATGTAAGCTCATTGGTCCCTTTTATTTCTGTCCCTATTTTTACTTTTTTTTTGTTTAATTCCCCATCCCTCCCTCGTTAGGTGGTTAGTGATGTCAGTTTTCTGGTGGATCTTGGACGCCTTTTCGTTTCGGGTGTGTGTTTTCGTATTTGTTGTTGTGTATGAATGAGTGAGTGTTTGTGTGAATGCTTGATGGTTTGAATGTGTACTCATTTTCTTAGTCCCGCATCGATTTCGTCCGGTTAACTGATATTTCTGCCACATTCATAGTTTGTGGGGGTTTTATTACTAACTCAGTTTTGTTTAGTTTTATTGTAAATAATTAATTCATTTTGTAAATATTCATTTGGGGATTTTAAAAGTTTTTATTTTATGACCCTCCCCCCACGAACAATATTTGTACATAAGGGGACTAGTTAGGACGTCATAGAGAAACTGAGGTATTATGGTGGACGTAGTAAGAAAGGTAGGAGTGAATGTGATGTTTTGGTGATTGGATTATTGTTGGCATGTTTGGGTCAGTGTCTGTGACTAGCTAAGTTTTAGATTAAGACAGAAGAAGACCGTCATTCCCCATCCCCCTCTTCGGCCATGTGCCACATTTTGTATGTTTTAATGCAAATAAATATTAGTTCTTCGAGGGACGTTCACGGTTGACGGCTAGATGTTTACTGAAAAAAATTCCTGTATAAGACAGGAAGAATCTAGTTACTTGGTCATTGTGAATGCAACAGTTACACCATATAGGTCAGGGGTTGGCAACACATGGCTCCTGGGCCACATCTGGCCCATGAAGGATTTTTGTACGACCCGCCAGCTTAATAGCTGGACACTAAATATGTAATTAATTTGTGGAGCAAGTTTCAGAAAAAATATCATTTGGAGTTTTTTGACTTAGAATGTGACAAATTTTTTAAATCAAAATTTTATTCCAAATCCACTGCTGACTTCTACAAGAAATATGTTTTGACAAATGGAAAATAGAAAAGCTTATTAAATAATGCAAAAATGATGGTATCATTATTTGGAAGTACACATGCTTATGAACAACTTTTTTTGAAAATGAAATAAAAGTTGTTTAAGAACAAGATTAGGTGATAACCACCTGGATAATGTTTTGTTCCTGTCATCAACAAATATTTCACCTGATGTGAAGAAGTTATCAAACAATAAACAGAAACAAGTGTCTCATTAAATAATTTGCCATTTTTAACTGTATTTCTTTCGTAGTAAGGAATTTGCATTTTTTGTTGATTATCTTAATTATTATCATGTAATAAAATAAGGAACCTTGTTTAAATAATATAGCATTAACTTCGTTGTTGTTTCCTTAAACTTCCAGAGCAAGGCAGCCTTTTGGACAAAGCAGTCTGGGATTGAGACAATTTGTTATAATACATTTGATATCATGGCCTTTCTCTAAGACAATCCATTGCTTTCTGGTCTGTTCGCTCCAAAAGGTTGCTGGCCCCTGGTATAGGTAGTAATAGGCCTCCATCAGTCTTGAGTGACTGTAGAGTCAACTAGGGTAGATAGCTAATCCCTGTTGCAGATGCCTGCTCAGGCACATTTGTATTTCCTCAACAACCTCAGTGCCAACTTGTGATTTATATTGAAACTATGCTGAGAAGACCTTAGTTACAGATTCTAGGAGATATTGTATAATCTGACATGATCCGTAGTTGAACCATGCTAGTACGTTCGAATCCTCAGTCATGATGACTTGAGACTTCATGCTAGTGTGTTGGAATGTGTCACGAAAAAAAAAATGATTTCGTCTCTTTCTCTCCTGCTGTCGTAGCGACGGACACAGTCTCCACTTCTGAGACTGAAAAACACTGCCCTCCTTCTCATTCCAGCCCTTTACATAGAGCTTGGTAACTCACCTATGCAAAACACCAACAAGCCAGCTACCAATCACAGTTCCCGTGCCTGCCCACCTCCACTCGCTTTGGGGGTTTCAAGTTGACTGACCAACTCATTACACACCCCCCTGATCTTAAGATCACAAAGCTTCTCAGTTCGAAGTTGTTGAAAATAAATTGTGAGGAAAAACATGGAACAGAAAACACAACAGGATATTGAATTGAGACGTTATTCCTTTTTATGTAATTCTATAATGGCAATAAATTCACAGACGTGTTTGTTTGTTAAATTATGATATGTGAAACAATATATAAATGTTTTTAGTAGTATGATTTTTTTCTTTGTATTCTCTTTTTTTGTTGTTTAACTTCCATATCTCCATCCCGAATTTTTTTTTGGATTAAACTGCATAATTGATAATGATATTTGGAGTTTTATTCCTGGTTTTGTAGTTGTCAAATTTTCATGTCTGTTGTGTTGAGAATCAAAAGTCCTACTTATGAATCTAGTGGATAAGGAAACACTAATTCTAGTATCACACAGATTTTTGTGGTAAAAGAAGGGAAAGATTTTTTCAAAAATCACAGATTTGGTCTTTTCTCGGAAGGGTCATTTTTATTTTTAGCTGTGATGAAATATCATTATTTAAAGACTGCTATGACCTATTTGCTAGCAGAAGATTGTAGCCAGAAAGTGTATGATAGATGACTTTCTTATCTGAAAAAGTAAAATGTTTGCTGTTAACGGTGACAAAATTATTAAAATCATTTTGAGGAGTTTATTTTTTTAATTTTTAATGAAGGTCATTAATTCTAATTAATTTTTAGCCATAGGAAATAAAATTTAGTATGATGATATTAATCAGTGTTAATTAAAATGGCATTTGTTAAATGCTTAAAGCTAATTGCATGTTCTGATATTTTTTCAGGGAGCAATTTCCAAACACAGAAGAAAATGCTGAAAAAGTAATAAAACTATGATTCTTATCTTGGTTTCAAATTAAAGAAATGCCCTTTTTTCTCTGACATTAAAGTATTACATGCATGAAAAAGTTTCCAATGTTTTTAATTTAAAAAATGCTTACTATTGTGTATCATTTGCATTATTTATATTGTTCAGACTGTCGTCCTCATCTTCATTGCCATATTCACATTTTGGCCATTATACACTCCGGCCTTCTTCAGGTGATTGGAATTTTGAACTAAACCCTTTAATTCATCCACCAGGGGAGATTGTTCTAGTTCTACATGTTATGTATCTTCCAGATGTCTCAATATCAATTATCTTCCTTTGACTCTCCAAGCGTTGACTGACTTGACCTAAAGAGCTGTGAGTTCCATACCTGGCTACAGCTGAGGTGAACAAAAACTTGGAGTGTTGAGTTAAAGGGAGATAACTGATACTGAGACATCCAGAAAAGGTATGGCATGTGGAACTAGAACAATCTAACTGATGGATGAAATACAGGGTTCTGTTTGAAATTCCAATCATTTGAAGAAGGCCAGAACGTATAACAGCTGAAACATCATGAATATAGCAACGAAGATGAGGACAACAGTCTAAACAATGTAAATAATTACAATAGCTCATCTAAGAAATATAGTCCGATATTGTGTATTCAGTTTCTATTTTTCAAAAAAAAGAACCGCCCTGTCGGCTGGGGCTTCAAAATACACTGACTGCACCTTTGCAGAGGGGTAAGACCACCCACCCAATGATACCACCTGTTTGCTGTGGGTGGTGACCTGTAATGTCTGGGGATGGGATCCTGGTAGTTGAGGGCTTTAGGAGTCAGGATTAGTTACTTTTGATTCCCAACACACCATTTTAGACCTTACTTGGACTAGATGAGCGGTCAGAGGAACACAATCCAATCAATTGGCTGGTCATAACAAGCCCTAGTGCCTATAACCATATGAATTTATGGAGTACTTTATAAATAAATACAATACCCCAAATATGCACCAGGATAAAAGACCTATCTCTATCCAATTTATAGACGTTAGAATACAATGATTGAGGGTTAATCAGTTCAAAGAGATCTAGACTTAGACATGGATGTGAACATACCAGTTTGTAGACTTATTTGGGAAGTGCACTGAATAGTTTAACAAGTGCTCAGAGTCTTTCTTGAATATGAGTATAATGGTTTGTGTAGCCCTGACCTATCAAGGCGATTGGTTTTCCCCCTTGACACACCCCAATGTTGAGCACCGAGGTATGTGGGGAACACGGGCAGTAAATCTTGATACACAAAAATTCTGAATAATCAAAATAAAAAGCCCAAGACTTTCAGACTCTGATTTAGTGTTGAAGCTTAAATAAGCATGGAATAATACAACACAAAATGTACGTTAACAAAATGTATTGAAACAAAGAATAGGTACACAATATTTACAGTTAGTTTGGTATATTCTTGGGAAGACTGTTCCTGCATAATGGGTTGACTAAATCGCAGTCGGGCAGAGTCTCTGGATTCAATTTCTTAATCTCTACTATCTTCCCCGTCTTCCGGTACCAACCCATATTTATATGGTCGGTAGTCCGCTTATGTAAATTAGGTGTATCATACACAACATTTAGAAAAAGAAATTAATATGGAATTTCCAAGATTTTTTGTGTTCACATCCCTAGAAGAAATTCTGCTGGCAAAGCTTTCCCCTTTCTTATTGAAAAGGTACTATTCTATTAGGACTAATCCGAAAACAGTTAGAAAGTTGAGAGATGACAATTTGCTGGTTGAAGTGGAAAATAGAAAATACAGAAAATATAATAAAGATGAAGACCTTTCATAATATCAAAATTAAAACCTTCCATCATGCAAGACTGAATACTTCTAAGGGAGTCATTAGAAGTAAAGAATTGTCTTTGGCCACACCTGTAGAAATTACATCTGCCTTAGGAAGACAAGAAGTCAGTGATTACCATAGAATCTCAATCAAAAGAAAAGGGGAAATGCTTATCACTGATACATATATCCTTACTTTTGGCACACCTGAAATCCCACAAAAACAAAAATAAGATATAATATTGAGCCAGTAGAACAATATATGCCTGCTCCACTAAAATGCTTTGAGTGCCAAAAATTTGGACATCATAGGAATAGCTGTAGGAGTTTCCCAACATGTGGAAAAAGTGGTCAAAGGGATTCAGACCATACTGAAGAAGAATGCCATGATGAAATTAGATGTACTGACTGCCAGGAAAGCCATCCAGCATACTCAAGAACATGTGATTTCTGAGAAAAGGAAAGGGAAATTGTTGAAGTAAAATATAAAAGAAACATTTCATTTGAAGGAGCAAGGCAGGTAATAGAAGGTTACATGAAAGGCCTTCCTGCACAAAAATAACAGAAAAACAGACTACAAATAATGCTGATCAGCCTGACAAATACAGAGTCCTCATTGAGAAGCTTGTACACCAAATGAGTGGCCCAAGTTTCAAACTTGCCTAAAAAGTCCAAGGAAACGGCACAGGCTGAACCACAAAAGAAGGACAATGAAAAACTGAAATAATAAATAAAGAAAAAATAAATATCAAAATGACAGCTCAAACACAAACCACTCCTACCAAAAATACCAAACCTCCTACTAAACAAAGGTCACAGCAATCTCCTATCCATCCACCAAAACCCAGGAAAGATAGTTTGAAAAGCTTATCTCCCAAAAGAACAGAATCAGCGAAGCGACCAAATTCCGATGCAAAACTAGAAAAGATGAAGGTGGAAAGCCAGAACCCACAAATGGCTGAAACCTCCAAAATGAAAACCTAGGAAAAAGAAATCAAAACTACATAAGCTAAAGGCTGAAAACATTTAAACAACCATGCGTAAGGTAATTCAATGGAACTGCCTTGGAATAAAGGCAAATATAAATGAACTGCTTCTGTTAATAACAGACTTGTCACCAGCAGTTGTTTGCCTTCAGGAAACATTCCTTAAGCAAGGTGACAAAATGAATATAAAAGAATACCAGCAAGACAACTATACACATGACACTGAGTTTTGTTCATCTGGGGGTACATCTATCCTAGTTAGGAATGATGTAGCCCAAAGTAAAATAAATTTGACAACTACTTTATAGGCAACTACTGTTAGGCCAATAAACATTTGTTCAATATAGATCCCACCTAATGAATGAGTAAATGGAATAGAAATTCATGAAATAATAAGGCAACTCCCTGCATCCATTATTATACTAGGGGACTTTAACTATCACAGCACCATATGGAGTTATAAAGACACAAACCAAACAATTATAGAAACAATTATAAGCAACAATGATTTATGTATTTATAATTTATAAAACTCTGACTTACATAAATCCATTTACTGGCAGTACTCTGCAATAGATTTATCCATATGTGATCCAACAATCTCTATGGATTTCTCTTGGAAGGTTCTGGCAGACACATGCAGTAATGATCAATTGCATATTCTTCTGCAAAAATTCAGATCATAATGATCAAAATCCTCTTCACTGGAAATTAGGTGGAATGAATTGGGATGAATTTAAAAACCAATGTTCTAATAAACTAGCTGAAGGTAAATGAATCAAGGACTTAAAACAGTTTACGGAAATCCTTATATCTATTGCAAAGGAATGCATTACAAAAAGTTCAGTACAAAAAAATTATAACAGACCTTGGTTCAATGATGAGTGTAAGGAAGCTATCAGGCTCAGGGGAAAATCTTTGAGAGATTTCAACAAACAGCTTTCAACCTCTAATTTGTTAAAATTTAAGCAACTTAAAGTAAAAGTATGGAAAATAATTAAAGAAAGCAAAAAAGAATGTTGGAAAAACTATGTTAGCAAACTTAATTCTACTACGAAAATAAGGAAAATAGTTGGTAAACCTCATTCTAATGCTATAAAAAATTTCTCAATAAATAACTTTAAAATAACCAGCAAAAAGGATATCATTGATCAATTAGCCAAAACAATCTCCAAAAATTCATTTGCCAAGAATGGTGGCCAGCAATTTTGGAAGCTCAAACAAAAAGCAGAAAAACAAAAATTAAACTTTAAATCAAATAACACTGAGAGCTATAACCTACCATTCACTATAGAGGAACTAAATGAATCTTTAAAGAAAGCCCACAATACGGCTGTAGGACCAGATGATATCCACTATCAATTCATAAAACAGTTGTCCAACAAATCATTACAACTGTTACTAAATTTGTATAACAACATATGAACATATGGAGACAATCATTCATCATCCCTATTCCAAAACCTGGAAAGGATGACACAGAGTCTGAAAGCTACAGGTTGATAGTACTAATGAGCTGCCTATATAAAACTATGGAGAGAATAGTCAACAACAGGTTGACTTGGTACCTGGAAACTAACAACTTAATCAGTGACTACCAATGTGCTTTTAGGAAAAAAAGAAGTACCATGGATCACTTAGTACACCTCAAAACCTTTGTAAGGGAAGCCTTCATTAAGAAAGAACATCTTATGGCAGTATTTTTTGACTTAGAAAAGGTGTATGATACAATATAGAAATTTGGTATTTTGAAAGATCTGCGTGAACTGAGTCTAAAAGGAAGTCTGATTCAATTCACAGGTAATTTCCTGAAAGACCAAAGCTTTCAAATAGGAACTACGCTATCAGAAGTGCAAAATCAAGAAGAAGGAGTTCCACAAGGAAGCCTTTTTCGGTGACACTTTTTGCGTAAAAATTAAATTCATAGTTAAGATCTTAAGCCCAGGAGTGAGATGCTCTCTATATGTCAATTATTTTCTAATTAATTACAGATCTTGTCTTGACATATGAATATTATTGAAAGACAACACCAATGATGTCTCAATAAAATACACAAATGGACTACTGAAAATGGGTTTATGTTTTCCAAAACAAAAACCAAATGCCTACATTTCTGAAAATTAATAAAATTGCACAATGACACATGTTTAAATTGGCTGGAACAGAAATCCCAGTAGCGGGACAAGTTTCTAGACATTATCTTTGA